GATACAGAGAATGGGCACTTGAGTCAATCAGCCTAGAAGAAGAAGAGAAGAGGAAGGGGGAGAATGCCAGAGTAGGAAACACCTCTTAAAGTAGTTGTTAAGCTAAGACGTAGGTATAACACTCTAAGTTAGATCAGTAAGGATGAGAAGGAGGGAATTCCTGCACAGAGTGTGTAGAATGCGCAGGAGTACACAAGTCCTGCCCCGTCTGCCCCCGATGTGGCTCAGTAAGGATGCGGCATAAGGTGCTGCCGGGGACAGCCACCGAGTCTACGCAGGTAGTCATATTGGGACAGACCTTCTCTCCCAAGTAACTTTATCCTGCAGGCAGCGGGACATTGTGGAAGGATTTCTGTAAGAAAATGCTTTAGAAAGAATGCTTTGTAGCAGTATGAAGCTTGATTGGAGAAGACAAAGCTGGAAGGAGAGAAACTACTGCAGTGAGAAAGTTTTAGGGAGTCCAGTTATAATAGTGAGAAGGTCATTAACTGAGACAATTTTAATGAGAAGGAAGCAAATTCTCATGATTAGGTCTTAGAATTTCCGGGATTTAGTGACTAAATGGAGAGAGAAGGAAGCATCACACCGTTTCCCCAGGCGGCTTGGGGAGTTGTGTGGACACTGGGCTATCCCGGAAGACAGGACACAGGACAAAGGATGAGTCCTGGGGTGATCATCCTATATTTGGGGTGTTTAGTGAGGATATCCAGGCGGTAGGAGAGTTAGAACAATGCTAAAACCAAGGAAATGAAGAATGTCCAGTCGACTTAGAGCATAGGTGGCCAAGAATTGTGCCCGGGGATGCTAACACCACACATTGCGGCCCTGAGGGCAGGATCCTGGGTAGAAGGGGTCAGACACGAGAAGCCTGAGATGCTAAGTAGCCTGTATTATAACAAGTATAACAGAATATAGTAAATCCTGCAGAATAACTGAGAAATCTTCATTGGATTTGACCTCTGCTTGTTCCTAAGCAGAGCCCCATGGATTCTTCCATTTTCCTGGGTGGTTACAAGGTGTGCACCTGGACTGTAGTACAGAAGGAACCAGGGTTGGTATGGCGCTCAGAAGGACAAGATTATGAGAAGGAGTTCAATGCAAGCTTAGGTGGACAGTAAATCAGCATTTGTAGAACGAATTGTAAAAGCACTCTAATAATGCGACCAGTCGCACTGCTGCTTACATAGCCAAGCCACTCCCTTTTTGTAGCTTAGATTTTACCAGCTTCCCATGAGATGCAGAAAAATATTCTGGGGAAAAATATAAACTGAAAGCCGACTAAGGTGGTGGTGTTTGGTTTGGTTTAGAATTTCTCCACTTAGAACTGTTCCCCAAAATCCTACTCAGAGCTTTATTCCTTAGAGGCTTACAGATTGGACCTTTGTAACCTTCTTTCAAGGCTGAAATCTCCTGGAAGTTAAGAGATTCATTAGGGGGCAAAGGGAATTCATTATGGAGGAATATTATTTATCTGATAAATTTTTCACATTCCTCTTTATGTGGGTACAAATGAACCTAACATTTTCAGTTTACTATTCTTGTCCATATTTAGTTCATTGTACACTCTATATTAATTTCTTTGATAAAAATTCATTTTATTTTTTTTGCATATGACTTTCAGTCTTGAGATCCTCTCATACTTATTTCAGATTCTCATTATTTGGCTGGCATTTTGTCTTCAGTGAACCAAAATCATCTCATTTTAAATTTACATAAGGCAGAAGTGCCGGCAGTCAGCATTCTCGTTCTACTTAACTAATTTATGGAGGTGTGATTTGGGCGATTTTTAAATTAAAAGTATCATTTCATATTCATAGTGATGATTTTTTTTAACTTTACTAAATTTATAGATATATAAATATCTTTATTGTCAGGAATCTGACAAGCTAATTCCTTTGCTAACTGTTTTAGTTAATATATATACTACATAGGTTATATCAGAATTCTGTTGCTTTTACCCAAAGCTTTTTCCAAAAATCCCCAAGTCAAGAAGGGTTATAATATTCACATTAGCATATAAAGTTCAAGACAAAATAAATTGGGAATATTTTTAGGGTATACTTCTATAATATTTCAAGGCTAGTTTCCTAAAATAAACCACTAAACTAATATATCAATGCATCTACAGTAGTAATGCAAAGACGTGACTAGCCTCAACATCTAAGATGCTGACTTTCATATCTGGAATCTCAGATGAGGTGACTGGAGCTGCAAGAACTAAGCAGGCATTTGTCTATTTCCATGATTCCCTTCCATGTGGTTCCGACACGGCATGGAAATTTCAGGGTAGTCAGACTTCTTACCCAAAGGTTGGATTACCCCAGAGTGAGCATTTCCAAAGAGTGAAAACAGAAGGTACAATATGTTATAATTGGAGACATGAATACTTGAGAATTTCCATATATCTTTTTTTTTCCTTATAGTTTAATTTAACTGTGTTAAGAGAATATACTGAATAGGTTACATCCTTTAACATTTATTGAGATGTGTTTTTTGGCCCAAAATATGTTCTATTTGGTGCATGTGCTGAGTGTTCTTAGAAAGAATATGTATTCTGGTGCCCTGGGTGTTCTATAAATACCAGTTGGTCAAGTTTTTTGATAATACTATGCTGTTCCAATGATCTATACTCTTACTAACTTTATGTCTACTTTAAAAAAAAATCAAATATTGAGAAAGAGCTGTTGAAATCTCCAATCACAATTGTGGGTTTATCTATTTTTCTTTTTATTTTATTATAGGCAGCCTAGAGTTAGTTCCTATTTCTTTTTAAATCTAATCTGATAATTTCTGCCTTTTAAATTGGGAGGGTTTAATGTGATCATACGTATGGTTTGGGCTAAATATTGCTACTTCTTTTATTTACCCCATCTGTTCTTTGTTCCTTTTTTTTTTTTAAATCTCTTTCTGCCTTCTTTTGTCTTGACTATTTTTGCTGTTTTCCATTTTATTTTCACTATTGGATTAGTTCTGCTGCTGTGTTTTGTTTTCATAATGATCGCAGTTACAAAGATTTGTTGAATTCCTATCCAGTTCTAGACCCTGAGAAGGTACCTGTACGCATACAAAGTTCTTTCTCTTACGCAGTTCATATTTTGCAATTAAAAAGAAGACCTACGAGTGAAAATTTTTGTTAATGGAATAATTTATCCATTTGTTAAATTAATAGAAACTGTGCTTAGTATCAGATAGATGACACGCTTTAGAGACCAAAGCTGGAATCTCAACTCTACCATTTCATAGCTATGTGATGCTAGGTGAGTTTCATAACATCTCGAAGCTTTAGTTTTCTCATCTGTATGATGGAGATAATAATTGTACCTAGTTCATAAAGTTGTTCTGAGGATTAAATGATACAGTGCATGTACGTTGCTCAGCACAGTGCCCACTAATGGTAGCAGCTCTCAGAAATAATGTATATCGTAATAGTAATAGTAACAGTAATAATAACTTCTATATATTATATTTAAACATCTGTAATATGGAGATAGCACTATGCAGCTTTCATGATTGTTGTTAGATTTAATTCTCAAAATGATAACGATTGTTTTTATTGTATTGGCATTAAATATATTTCTTAACCCAGATATTTCACATATGTGCTAATAGAGTTAAATATTTAAAAACAGTTACCTTGATATTTTGTGCCCTTTTAAAAGTATATTTTATTCTCCACATGAAGAATCTATTAACATTTAATATGGTAGAACCAAGCAACCTCTTTTTTAATCTTGATAATATAGTTTTAATAAAATATTTCAATAGAAATCATTGTAATTATAGAAGTAGACTGGGAATTAAAAATTCTTTTTAAAAGGAGCTGGTTTTTATACTTATCACATTATTAAATATTTTCATTAGGTGACTTTTAATGCCAGGAACTTTTCTTAATTTTTCTTTTGCATTACCTCTTTAAAAATTGGCACCTTACAGATACTTTTTCAGATATCANTTTTGAATTTGCTATTGACTTCAGAATTCAGGTAAGCACCTTCATGTATCATCACACGAAGGAGCAGAATAAGGATCTGCTTCTTAAATAAGTTAATTATCATGCATCCTGCTGGTACATTTTCCCCCTTGTTTCTTGCAAAAGTATTTCATGTGTGTACCTTGAGGTTGTATCTGCATGAGTTGGCAGGGTTAGAGGCCTCATCTATATAGGGCTGTGGCACTCATATGTGTCTTTGTGTGATAATCATCACAACTTTGGTTTCAAAGTGGGATAAAAACATGACCCGTGATTGTTGTTATTTTTAATTGTACTGGCTTTGCACAGATCCCATGCATTTCATAATTTTCACTTGAGGCAGATAATCTTGCTACTTGGTTAAATCTTTAAGATTCTCTTTGGTGTTTTTTAAATTAATGGCTTCCAAGAGATTCCAACTGCATAACATTTGTGCTATATATTTTCATTAACTGTTGAATGTTTGACTTTGATATTCTCTTTCTTTTTATGTTTAAAAGGGTTGGTATTTCTTTATTACAAAGAACTGCAAAAGAGGATATCACCTTACCTTACAAAATAAGATTTAGGTTTGATTTACAACCACCACCAAAAAACATTTCTGTAAGTGAATATTTTATAATAGCAATAGATTCCCAAGAGAAATTGTTGAGATCCATCTGTATATATCCAGAAGAAGGTGCCCATCTCTTTGGGATTGTTTCAATCACAATTTATTTTTTTTTAAAAGAGGATTGATATTTGCTTTGAAAAGTTAATTAGGCTTTAGTTCTCAGAATTCACAATAATGGCTCTTACTTCCATTGGTTTAAAATCAATAATTTTATCATCATGCACTATCTGATAAAAACATGGTTCTTTTACACATGAGTCAGGAAGCTACAGGGTTTGTAAGTACTGAAAGTTCTTTTAACTACAACCACGTCGTCTTTCCAAAATGCCTTACTCAACATTCAGTAATTTTTCAAAACAGCGTTTTCCTCTATTTGAAGACTATAGAACAAATCATGTCATTTTTCTTACTATGCAGTTGGAGAATTTGATGCTGGATAAAGATGGCCACATAAAAATTACAGATTTTGGACTTTGCAAAGAAGGGATCACAGATGCAGCTACCATGAAGACGTTCTGTGGCACACCAGAATACCTGGCCCCAGAGGTACGCTTGCTCCCAGTCAAAAAATAACATGGACGCCATGTTTTACCAAGGACACTATTTAAGTATTAAAAAAAAAAAAAGCAGTACCTACTAGTTTTACCTGGACTTCACCATGAATCAAATCTAGTTTGCTTTCCCTTGTGTAACATGGCATTATAGGGCAAGAATATATAGAACTTAAATTTTATAGACTTTATGATCACAGAGGTACTAACTAAATATAGTAAGTTAATTTTGATTTCTTAGCCATATACATTTTACTTCTAGAGTATGTCTGTTTTGATTCATTTATTCAAATAGAATAATTGAATGACTTCAGCAGGAATGTTTACCATTTTATAAGCCATTTGGATTTTCCTTAGACACAAAGAAATAATGATAATTTGGGCTTGTAGTATTGTGGGTTTTCATACTAAATTATTGGAAAGTATTTCATTGGGAAAGGTAATGAAATGACGGTAGCTACATTTTAGAATTCATTCCAAAGCCTGCTCTCCCCAGTGACCACCCATGCTGAGGGTTTTCCAGTAATTCATTTGTTTGTTTATTCAACAACTATAGGTTCGGTGTCTACTGTGTGTTGGGTGTTTTTCTGGGTGATGTGGTTACGAGGCAAGACATGAAGGACACGCTCTCAGGGAACTTCCTCCTGGTGGAGGGAGACAGAATTAAAATAAATAAATGACATAATGTTACGTAAAGAGTAAGTGCCAGGAAGAGAAAAAAGCTAGATAAAGGGCAGGTGTGGCGTGGTGGCTGTGTTAGGTGATGTTCCAGTTATTCTTGCTGTACGAAAACCACTCCAAAACCTAACGGTGAAAAACCACCGTTTTATGTGACCGTGGATTCTGAGTCAGGAATGCAAACGGGACAACAGGGGTGGCTTTTCTCCACTCCATGGTACATGGGGTCTCAGCAGAACGCTTTACAGCAGGGGGTGACTCTGTGGCTGGAGACCCGGATGCGGCAGCTTCTTCACTCACGTCTCACGGTTGACACTGGCTGTCAGCAGGGACCGCGGAGGACCGTCCATGGGAGGGGTGATGTGTACCCTCCGCCTCGCTGCGGCCCAGGCTTCCGCACAGTGGCCGAGGGGAGCCGGACTTCCTTGCCTCTGGGCCCTAACAGTGCTGTCCTAGGGAACAGGGTAGGAGCTGCTTCCTCTCCTTTTTTTTTTCACTTAGTAAACCATGAAGAAATGTTTTACTCATTTTTGAAATTTTCTTTTCATAATATATTTTTTATAATGTTATTGGAGTACAAACGACCGTAAAACTCAGCCTTTTAAAGTGCACAGCAGTGGTTTTCAGTATGTCCACAAAGTTGTACAGCCATCGTCATCATCTAATTCCAGAATATTTTCATCACTCCATCAGAGAAACCCATATGCGTCAGCTCCCCACTCTCCCCTCCCCCCAGGCAGCTCCTCATCTACTTCCTGTCTTTTATAGACGTGCCCGTTCCGGACATTTCACATAAATGGAACCCTACAGTATGTGGCCTGTTGTGTCTGGCTTCTTCACCGAGTGTACGGCTTACAAAGTTCATCCACATTGGGGCATATCAGCATTTCCTTTCTATGGCCGAATAATATTCCATTGCATGGATAGGCGTCATTTTGTTTATCCATTTAACAGTTGCTGGACATTTTCATTGCTTCTAGTGTTTGGCACTAATGATGCTATGAACATTTGTGGATGCATCTCTTTGTATGGCCTCGTTTCAGGAACCGCACACCATCATTCTGTCCTGTGCTCATCGGTTAAGCAGCCCTGAGCCTACACAGATGTAGGGTGGGACAGAGACCCCACTTCTCCATTGTAGAACAGCGTGTGAGACTGAGATATTGCTGCAGCTGCCTGTGGCATATAGAACCTTCTACAGATAGGATGTTCAGAGAAAGTGACGTGGGACCAGAGACCTGAAAGCTAAGAAGGAGGCAGCTGTTGCAAAAACACAGGGGAAGAGCTTCCTGAATGTGGAAAACAACGGCCTTAAAAACCCTGAGACAGGAACCATTTCTGCTGTTCCCTCAAACTCCAGGGTTAGTGTGGCCAGAGCCACAGGGAGGCATTCATCCTTTTTTTTAAATTTTTATTTATTTATTTATTTTTTTTTTTTTTTAGCTGAGCCATCCTGCCACCTGTTGGCAGCTCAGCGGCTGCTCAGCTCGGGCCGGGACTTGAACTGCTGTTGCTCAGAGCTCACACTCTTGAGCGATCTCTTAACCAACTGAGCCACTCGGCTGGCCCTAGAGGCATTCATCCTTGATGGATGAAGATTACTGTTTATTGAACACCCTCTATGTGCCACACGCTAAGTGTATATCTAGAAGAACCTTTTGTGATAGCAACCCTGATTTTTTTTTTAAGGTGAGGGAGCTGAGGATCAGAATTGTTTTTTATGTAAACTGTACCCAGCCAGGAGGTGGTGGGGATAGAAACACGATTCTGAGTAGGTTCTTCTTATAAAACCCACTTGTACTTCTTTTACTGAATACATCATGGCCCAAAAAAGTCACAATTTCAAGGCCACTTACAGATGTCAATAATTGCCATTTTTAAAATAAATGCTTTGTGCAAGGCTCAACAGGGAAAGATAATCAAAAGAAATGAGCGAGCAGGATACATTCAGGATGATCTTATATCCGTTTACGTACAGTAACTCGTGCCAGCTCATTACAATAGTCCTTTTCAATTAGGGATTAAATTTACATTTCAAGAATGTTGTTATTGTAAATAAGTGCAAATAATTTGAAATACAGTAAATTTCCAAATAGTATTTTGAGGACTGCCAAAAATACCATTTTCTGTGTTACAAAATCTGGAGTTTAAAATTGTCCATTTTTGTGGCTGAATGAGGTAAAATTTTAGAAACAGTTCCTTGTTTATTCAAATACAAGATCATATTTTCTAGAATACGATTGTTTTTGTGAATGTCACGAGAAACAAATTCTTTGTTTCTCCGGAGTTTAATTACCCCTGCTATACATTTGCCATAGATGTTATCCCATATTTAGAATAACAAAATTAGTTGTGTCATAATTAGGGAAAATTATTTCTGAAGAAGATAAGTACATCTCATTTTAGAAGCAGATGATCTCCTAAGAAACAAAGATATTGTTCTATATGCAAATGTCATCAACTGAAGAACAAAACCAAGAATTTAATTCAAGAAGGGCCCAATTGTTTCTAAATGGAAAGTTTACAATTCACAAAAAATTATCAATTTCTTTTTAAAGACAAGTAAGAAAACATTTGATATATACATATTATAGATATATATGTGTGTGTGTGTGTATATATATATATATATATATATTTATTTTTTTTAAATATTGCAGAAGTTTGGTCTTTAAGAGCAGTTGATATTCCCATGGCTGATTCATAATTAAAACCTTGACACCTCACTTTTATAGGGGAGAGTAATCACTGTAGTAGTTACTGATTGAGGATGACAAATCTTGAAACAACTCCTCACGCAATTTTAATTCTTATATTTTAAGTACTTATGTTAAACACTGCATGTGTGTTAAATCAAGGTAACTTTCAAGGTGTGTAGTCTTACTTTTAAAAACAAGCAGTGAAGTCTTTTTTCTGGTCTCTGATATAGATAATTTCCCTAAAGAACATTCATTCGTTCACGAAGGAGGTATCTATTGCATATTTATTAGGTGCCATGCAGTATATTAGGTGCTGGGAATACAAAGATAGTTAAGAAATGGTTTTTGTTCTCAAGTATCTTACTGTTTCCTAAGGTGATACGATATGGAGAATAATGACAACTGTGCAAACAATAATTGCTTTACTGGAGCGACGTGGAGTGTCGGGGAAGGAGCAGGGAAGGTGTGAGCCTGCGGGAGGGTCTGGCGGCAGTAAAAGGAAGCCGGAGGAAAAGAGGCTGGATGCAGGGGCGGATGGGAAGGCGTGTTCAGATTGGATCTCACGGGGAAGGGGAAGCCACTTTTGAGTTGGGAGAAAGGCAACACGGTGATCAGACTTACGTGGTCGGAGTTAGGGAGGGAGTGGCTAGAGCAGAAACCAGCAGCTTCCCTTTACTTCGGATGGTGTCTGTCACTTCTTTTGAACCCCAAAGTTTCTGGGGTGTACCCTTGTTAAATGCCAGACTTTCCCTGATCGCATATAAGTAGCAGCTGTTTATCAGACCTCTGAGCACTGCTTTCCTGGTGAATGGCTCAGCGTCAGAATTCCCCCTTCTCTTGTTGTAGAAGACTTGTTTCCACGTTATGGAGAGGTCTCCTTGTCGCCCCTACTTCATCTAGCTGTGGTCAGCCTTTACCTGTTAAGTTGTTTTAATCTGGTAGAAATGCTTTGCTGTTTAAAAAGATAGGTGAAGGGTGATCACACAATGCAATATATAGATGATGTATTATAGAATTGTACCCTTGAAACCTGTATAATTGTATTAACCAATGTCACCCCAATACATTTAATTAAAAAAGAAAGATAGGTGAAAGGCATTTAAAAGACTGTTAGAAATCAGTTCAAACCCAATTTAACTGTCCTATATATCAGACTTACAGCTGATTTTAAGTAAACTTAAGTTTTAAAAGACCTTAAGTTTCTTCTTGTGGTAAAGACCACCAGAAAAGATAATTACTATAGTTTAAAAATGCCATTTGTTGAAAAACTAATATTTTAAAAATATTTGTTCTCTTACCTCTTTTGATGAAGAATTATAGTCCTTTAGTGTTAAAGGGAAAAAAATCATGTATTTTTAAAGAGGTTGCAGAGATACAGTCCTAGCAGGCATATAAACTGTGCATTTAGTGAGCTACAGCTCAAAAAACGCATTAGTCTACAAGTCTATAATTTTAAACGAATGTAGTGCTGCTCTTATTAACATGAGAAGGAAATACACTTGACCCGCCATACATTAGGGGCCATAAGTTACTTTGAGGGCATTTTGTTTTTGTAATCTATACTGTATTTTCACACCTAGAAATTATAAAAGAAATTAGAAATCACATATAAAGTCTT